AGGGGATGGGGCGGAAGATATAGGTCTATAAAAAAAACAAAAATAAACTTAAAACTACTGCTTGTGATTTTTTTGCTACTTTTGAAGATAAAAAAACTCCTTCCTTTATGTAGAATAATTTTTAGCAAAAGAAGCTGGCTCCAGTAATCTGAGGTTTCCTGTTTATGCTGCAATGGGCGGTAACTAAAACCTAGATGATCAACTCAATTGTCTTTAGCGGTAGCACCCTCTGGAACAGACTGCTTTAAACTTTGATAATCTTACCACCTTTTGTAGCGGCAAAAAGCTTGATAGTTCGAAAATCTAAGAAGTTCGAAATTGTACGGACAAATTTTTTTCTAGCATAATCAATATAATTGTATCAACATCTGTGCATGAGCATAAGTCAGATTTTCTTTTGATGTTATTGTTAGTTTTTCCTTCCTTTCGAAGGTAGTTGGTGTTCGTTAGCTTTTATTTACACTTTTGTAAAAAAGCAACTGTAAATTATTTAATTAAAATGTGAATGAACTTTCTAAGTCTGCTTTCCACTGAATTTTTTCTTATTTTCTTATGAAAATAAAAGAGATTCGATCAAATAAAGGGAATAATCAGAATTTTTGAATAGTAAAACGAGCTAGACAAAAAATCATGTTACAAATCAAAATGAGAAACTTCTTCATAATGATTTTTCGTTAATTTTATTGATTTGCAAAAAACTAGCAAAAAATTATTCATGAAAAATTTTATTGTAATAAGTTTATTGTAAAAATACTTCTGCTTTAATAAAAGGGAGAAACGGGAAGAAAATTTAAAAAAAAACCGGGAAGCCGAAAGAAAGCAAGCGAAACCCGGAGCCTCCCGGAAAAACCAAGAAAGTTAACAGGTCTTATGCTAGTTTAGGCACGATTTTAGGCCATGAGGGCTGTCTGATTATCTATGAAGTCTACAATTTGTTCGTTAGTAACCAAGGGAAAACAGCCATAAAACGACATTGGGATTTTCTTAAACGATCTCTAGGACACTCTATCCTTACCATCCGGCTAGCACCGCAATGCGAGCCAACTGTGCATGCAGATTGCAGCGTAAACTGTAAAGTTTCTTGCTCTCATTACAAGTAGTAATATGTGCATTATTTTTGTTAGGTTGACTACGAGTCGTCGTACCAAGAAGTAGAAGGGAAGACAGCAAAGGAATTCTTGAGCAGCAATTGTGTGCAAGCGATGAATACAAAGCCTACGTCACTGCAAAATCTGCTTAGTAACCAAAGTAGCGGTATTCGTTTTTGTTCAGCTTTGGCATATTTGAAAGCATAACTTGACACTTTTACAAACTAAAGAAAAACCCCAGATTGTTAGCCAGTTGTTGATTTCAGTGAAGTTAAAACATCCCACAAGAGGCAGCTTTATTTCAAACAGCATGGCTCTTGAAACAAAGCCAATTGAATAGACAATATAGAAATAGGCGTTTCTGACCATCCCTTAAGAACGCGCCCTTTTCAGTCCAGTTACAATAAACACAAGACTTATCCAGGTGACCGATTAGGCCCGGGTTAAAGGAGACAAGCTCCAAAAAGATCAGAGATCCAAAAAGTGACTTTAAGTTGACTTCCCATCGGTATTATTAGCGAGTGAGACCCTTGTAAAAGTTCGTTTAATAGCGCATTTTATGAGATTGGATGAGAGACTGGTAGCAAATGTTAATAGAAATATGTATAAAAGTTGTTTGAGTACTCTGTGACAATATATAAAAGAGCGTACAACATTTTCATTAAAGATCGGGGAATCTACATATTTTCAAAATGTGCTAGATCAAATAATTTTAAGGGGACCACGCTCGTGAAATGTGCGTAAATTTGAAACAGGGGTGTATGACCACTCTTTTTGAAGGGAGGGGGTAATTTTTCTGTAATTCACAGCAAAAAAACTGCGTTGCCCGCTGATAAATGTACTGTTTGGTTGTAGGGTGTTGTAAACGTATATAAGATGGTAATTAAAAGTATCTATTTATTCTTTAAAGTTGTTATTAAATTTTTAAAATTTTGCTTAAACTGGTTAGATTTAAAGGCTTTTATACTTTTTGTAGTGGCGTTCCCATATTCAGTTAGGCACCTTATGATTACCTACCAGCGTAGATTCATTCTACGTTCTCATCTAAACGTGATCTCCTTTTACGTTCTTCCTTGTAAACAACCAGCTACTCTGGCAAGGGGAATCATTGGCAAAGTGAGGCTTTAGAAATCTGCTATTGAATTTCCTTTGTCAAAGGCGAGAAGTCTTTGTGCAGCTAAATTCGGTTGAAACATATTTTTTGTTGCTTAGTTATTTAATCGATTTAATTGTGCATTTGTAAAATTGTTATTTGAATTATGAACTTCTGCCTAGAATTTTTCACTTATTTTTCCTGGTTTTCTTTGCGTAAATAAATGATAATTTATGTGATCCGGCCCAGACATTCCTCTGTTTACACAAAGAGAGCCTTTTGTCTCAAATTGAATAGGCAGTGTTTCAACTAACAGTTGCAATTCTGGCGAAAGTATACATTGTATCAATTAATTACGTTGTACCACAGGATGCAGGAGACTGTGCTCTTCCTTCTGGTTTTTTCGCTGAGACGATCGGACCATGTATGGCAAAGTTATTCGGATTTTTACTCAGTTTTGACCGAGGGGGATTCAGGATTGCACAAAGCAGTTCAGAAAAAACAATAGGCTTGTGATTCCCAGAGTTTGTAAAGATCTCAGTTTTTGGTGATTTACTCCTAAACTATAATAGCTATGAATTTCTAGTTTAATTCATGAGACGGGCCGTTCGATGCTCGATTTTTTGAGCCGTTTCCCGTATTTTTAGGACCAGTTTTAGCCGAGTTATTAAGGATTTTGTCTCGAAAATCGCCAAAAAACGGTTTTTTGGACTTTAAAAATCGAAAACAGCCGCTAAAAATTCGCTGATACTTTCTAAAAATCGAGCCAAAAATCGCCTAAATTCTGATATATAGCTTTCTCTGTTTGAAGCTCGCGTTTCTTTTTAAAATCGATTTTTCCGAAAAGTGCACTTTTCAAATTTTCTCAAATTTGCATCGCAGCGTCCAGGCCTGGCCAAAGCCGTTGCTGCGATGGCGACTTATACTTTCTACTTAAAAACGATATTTTCTTGAAGTTTTAAAGCGGGGGTAAGCTTTTTACATGCTAAGCAAACTGTTTTAAGTCGATTTAGATGCAATTACAGTGTAATCGCTTGATTTTAAATCATTTTGAAAAACTTCAGTACATGTCACTAGCCGCCCGTAGCCCGGTCAGTTTTAATGGAGAGAACCACACGAATATCGCTCTATATTCGCATATCAAGAGCGTTGATCATTTAACAGCCGTTTACACACTCTCTTCTTGCATGTTTAATCTGTTTAATCTTTTACAAAGGGATTAATTGCAACAAAATTTTTGCAACTTCATTTTTCTTCAATGAAGGTCTGGGAATCCCCTTCCTTAGGTATATTCAGGCTTGCAAACTTTCTATTGTCTTACCGAGTTACCCTTTGGTTTTTGCCTTTCTGAGGCTTTGATATCAATATGATTGAGAGAAATAGAGAAAAGATGCAGTTATTTATCGCCTCAAACGCTTAAAAAGCCAATATCGAGCGATTTTCGTGTGTTTTTCTCCATTAAAGCAGATCGGGCGACGGGCGGCTAGTGACATGTACTAAACTTTTTCACAATGTCACTAGCCGCCCGTCGCCCGATCTGCTTTAATGGAGAAAAACACACGAAAATCGCTCGATATTCGCTTTTTAGGCGTTTGAGTCGATAAATAACTGCATCTATGCTCTATTTCTCTCAATCATATTGATATTAAAGCCTTAGAAGGGCAAAAACTAGAGGGTAACCCGGTAAGACAATAGAAAGTTTGCAAGCCTGAATATACCAATGGAAGGGGATTCCCAGACCTTCATATCGAGGAAAAGTGAAGTTGCAAAGATTTTGTTGCAATTAATCCCTTTGTAAAAGATTAAACAGATTCAACATGCAACAAGAGAGTGTGTAAACGGCTGTTAAATGATCAACGCTCTTGATATGCGAATATAGAGCGATATTCGTGTGGTTCTCTCTATTAAAGCTGACCGGGCTACGGGCGGCTAGTGACATGTACTGAAGTTTTTCAAAATGATTTAAAATCAAGCGATTACACTGTAATTGCATCTAATTCGACTTAAAACAGTTGGCTTAGCATGTAAAAAGCTTACCCCCGCTTTAAAACTCCAAAAAATACCGTTTTTAAGTATAAAGTATAAGTCGCCATCGCAGCAACGGCTTTGGCCAGGCCTGGACGCTGCGATGCAAATTTGAGAAAATTTGAAAAGTGGACTTTTCGGAAAAATCGATTTTAAAAAGAAACGCGAGCTTCAAACAGAGAAAGCTATATATCAGAATTTAGGCGATTTTTGGCTCGATTTTTAGAAAGTATCAGCGAATTTTTAGCGGCTGTTTTCGATTTTTAAAGTCCAAAAAACCATTTTTTGGCGATTTTCGAGACAAAATCCTTGATAACTCGGCTAAAACTGGTCCTAAAAATACGGGAAACGGCTCAAAAAATCGAGCATCATACGGCCCGTCTCATGAATTAAACTAGAAATTCATAGCTATTATAGTTTAGGAGTAAATCACCAAAAACTGAGATCTTTACAAACTCTGGGAATCACAAGCCTATTGTTTTTTCTGAACTGCTTTGTGCAATCCTGAATCCCCCTCGGTCAAAACTGAGTAAAACCCGAATAACTTTGCCATACATGGTCCGATCGTCTCAGCGAAAAAACCAGAAGGAAGAGCACAGTCTCCTGCATCCTGTGGTACAACGTAACAATTGATACAATGTATACTTTCGCCAGAATTGCAACTGTTAGTTGAAACACTGCCTATTCAATTTGAGACAAAAGGCTCTCTTTGTGTAAACAGAGGAATGTCTGGGCCGGATCACAGAAATTATCATTTATTTACGCAAAGAAAACCAGGAAAAATAAGTGAAAAATTCTAGGCAGAAGTTCATAATTCAAATAACAATTTTACAAATGCACAATTAAATCGATTAAATAACTAAGCAACAAAAAATATGTTTCAACCGAATTTAGCTGCACAAAGACTTCTCGCCTTTGACAAAGGAAATTCAATAGCAGATTTCTAAAGCCTCACTTTGCCAATGATTCCCCTTGCCAGAGTAGCTAGTTGTTTACAAGGTAGAACGTAAAAGGAGATCACGTTTAGATGAGAACGTAGAATGAATCTACGCTGGTAATCATAAGGTGTCTAACTGAATATGGGAACGCCACTACAAAAAGTATAAAAGCCTTTAAGTCTAACCAGTTTAAGCAAAATGTTGAAAAATTTAATAACAACTTTAAGGAATAAATAGATACTTTTAGTTAGCATCTTATATACGTTTACAACACCCTACAACCAAACACTACATTCATCAGCGGTCAACGCAGTTTTTTGCTGTGAATTACAGAAATATTACCCCTCCCTTCAGAAAGAGTGGTCATACACCCCTGTTTCAAATTTACGCACATTTCACGAGCGTGGTCCCCTTAAAATTATTTGATCTAGCACATTTTGAAAATATGTAGATTCCCCGATCTTTAATGAAAATGTTGTACACTCTTTTATATATTGTCACAGAGTACTCAAACAACTTTTATACATATTTCTATCAACATTTGCTACCAGTCTCTCATCCAATCTCATAAAATGCGCTATTAAACGAACCTTTATAAGGGTCTCACTCGCTAATAATACCGATGGGAAGTCAACTTAAAGTCACTTTTTGAATCTCTGATCTTTCTGGAGCTTGTCTTCTGTAACCGAGGCCTAATCGGTCACTTGGATAAGTCTTGTGTTTATTGTAACTTGGACTGAAAAGGGCGTGTTCTTAAGGGATGGTCAGAAACGCCTATTTCTATATTGTCTATTCAATTGGCTTTGTTTCAGGAGCTATGCTGTTTGAAATAAAGCTGCCTCTTGTGGGATGTTTTAACTTCACTGAATCAACAACTGGCTAACAATCTGGGGTTTTTCTTTAGTTTGTAAAAGTGTCAAGTTATGCTTTCAAATATGCCAAACCTAAACAAAAACCAATACCGCTACTTTTGTTATCAAGCAGATTTTGCAGCTATGTAGGCTTTGTATTCATCGCTGGCACATGATTGCTGCTCAAGAATTCCTTTGCTGTCTTCCCTTCTACTTCTTAGTACGACGACTCGTAGTCAACCTAACAAAAATAAAATATAATTAATGCACATGTTACTTCTTGTAATGAAAGCAAGAAACTTTACAGTTTACGCTGCAATCTGCTTGCATAGTTGGCTCGCATTGCGGTGCTAGCCGGATGGTATGGATAGAGGGTCCTAGAGATCGTTTAAGAAAATCCCAATGTCGTTTTACGGCTGTTTTCTCTTGGTTACTAATGAAAAAATTTTAGACTTCATAGATAATCAGACAGCCCTCATGGCCTAAAATCGTGCCTAAACTAGCATAAGATCTGTCAACTTTCTTGGTTTTGCCGGGAGGCTCCCGGTTTCGCTTGCTTTCTTTCGGTGTTCCGGTTTTTTTAAATTTCCTTCCCGTTTCTCCTTTATCTTAAAGCAGAAGTTTTCTTACAATGAATTTATTACAATGAAATTCTTCATGAATAATTTTTTGCTAGTGTTTGCAAATCAACAAAATTCACGAAAAATCATTATGAAGAAGTTCCTCATTTTGATTATTAACATGATTTTTTGTCTAGCTCGTTTTACTATTCAAAAATTCTGATTATTCCCCTTATTTGATCGAATCTCTTTTATTTTCATAAGAAAATAAGAAAGAATTCAGTGGAAAGCCGGGCAAGGCTGTCACATTTTGAGCGAAAGGCACCTTTGTATTTCAACAATCAAGTTAAGAAGATTTTTATATAGAGCCTTCTGTCATCGATCGATTGTAGAAGCTTGCGACCATTCAATATCAATAGTGGGGGTGGGGCGGAAGATATTTTTGGAAAAGCGAAGTTATTTCCGGCCCCCTCAAATTCATTTAATTACAATGTTGCCCCCTATAAATCCAAGAATAATTTCTTATAGATCCCCCCGTAAACGTAAAAGAATATCCAGATGGTCATGGACAGAAGCAAAAATCCGTGCGAAGGAGAATAATAGAAAGAACAGGAAAAGAATAGTTGAACGTGACCTGAGAAGCTGCTTGTCGTTAATTGGTGCCATGCTTCCTGGAGAGAAAGTCAAGAAGACCCATCCCCTCCCATTAATTATGATTGGTCCCTTATCAAAACTCGATCTATCATCTTCGACAAGGAGTCTACTTCTTTGTCCTGGGAATCGCCACAAAAGTCTAGGTAAGTGGACAATAATTAGAATTTGACATTATAGATGTAAAAAAAATCTTTTTTCCTCTTCTTGTCGTTGTCAGGTGCGATAAAATTCTTCTACAAAATTTTTTACAAAGTAAAAACATGTAAATGAAATATTGAAAAATATCTGTCATCATTTTCTGACTAAGAAGATATGATCTAGTATCCCTAAATAATGGCAAAATATCATAAAGATATTTAGATGAGGTCGTTGTTTAAAACAGTGTATGGTTTTAAAACAGGATAGATGTTAAGAAAAACTTGTGTATGGTTTTGAAGTGATCATTTATTTCCAAGCATTTATTAACTTTTAAAACGAAAAATTGTTTTGACAAGCATACTCGACAAATAAGATGCAACAAGCGGATCTAGCGGAAGCAGAAACGAACCAATTAGAACCAAATCACAACAGTTATAAAAAGAAAAAAAAAGGTAGATCAAAACGCACTAGCCAGAACCGACAAAATGGGTGGATCGAAACGCACCAGTCACAACCGACAAAACAGATTGGGTCGAAACGCACCAATCAGAACTGGCAAAAGTGGGTTGATCGAAACGCACCAATCAGAACCGAGAAAACAGGGTGGATCGAAACGCACCAATCAGAACTGGCAAAACAGTGTGGATCGAAACGCACCAATCAGAAATGACCAAAGTGGGTGGATCGAGACGCACCAATCAGAACCGACAAAATAAGGTGGATCGAAACGCATCAATCACAAACCGAGAAAACAGGTTGGATCGAAACGCACCAATCAGAACCAAGAAAACAGGTTGGATCGAAACGCACCATAAGAGCTGGCAAATTAGGGTGGATCGAAACGCACAAAGCTTGAAAAAGTTCCTAATAAGCTCTCCTTTAAAAAAGCTCTCAAAAACTAGTTATTTTTTGCTTTTTTAATTGGCGTAGCAAGAATTTTTCTGCAAAAACAGCCGAGAATACATGATCCCACTTGCTACCTTTGAAAAAACATTACTGCATCGTTTTTCCCCATCGCAGATTCAAGACAAAAACTTTGAATTGATTCAGAGAATGTAAATGTTTTCTTGCATTCAAATTCCTTCACAGTATTGTCCATGTGTTGACACTCTTCTCTTGTGGCTATCACTTGCTTGTGCAAAACTATGACGACTTTCATTCTCTGTGATGTTGCTCCACATAGGCAAAGCACAACCAAACAATTTTCTTTTTTTCTGGACCCAATAACAAATGCTGTGATCTTGTTTGTCTCTTCATTTTTCAAGAAAGGTTTGAGTTTTCTGTTTATTTCTTGAAGTGTGCGCCCCTCGAATAGGCCCCCTCACTCGAATAGGTGCCCTCTAAAATGCTGAAATTAGTTATAGCTCCGGGGCGTTTAATCGAGAAAATACGGAAATAAAAAAAAGGAACTTACTAATATGATCAATTTAGAAAGTTTGGATTTAAGCAAATTATTTGTTGTCATGGAACCCTTTATGGGCTGTTAAACTCTCTTTTTGATCTTCCATGGTCAAAAAAGTAAAAATACTGGCAGTGATAAAAATCACTGAATCTGGCTGTTCAAGTGATCTTCATTCTAATGGCGGGCAAATATACAAAATCAAAACTGTGTGTCAAAAGTGTTATAGTTTAGTTTGGCAATAAAAAATAACTGAATAAAGACGTCTCCACTGTCTAGATTATTAGACCAAGTTCAATTAATATCCACTGTGGAAATTTACTTTCGAAAACGGGAAAGCTCATTGGGAAGAGCATTTTCATAGGGTCCGGTAACTCCATTGGATTTATATGGATAAATTTTACAATGTCTTCTAGCTGGAAAATCATCTAACATCGTGTTAGCACTTGCAGAGCTTAACAATTTACTTAAAAATTGAATTCTCCAACATTGGCACCATTTTTGCTTTAGGCTCATCAACACTGCCACAGTTCTAAGTTGTGGTCTGATGCCTGAAAATCGCATTATGAGTGAACCTAGGAGACCTAAGAGAAGAAATTTAGAATCGTCCAATTTAGAACCAAAAGGGTGTACAGCTCTGCCTATACGGCATCAAGCATTCTATGACCGACCGAAAAACAGTAATTTTTATTTTTTCATAACTTGAGTTTTTTCTCCAATCAGTTTTATGATAGGTGCTGTAACTTAAATTCATTTTGAAGCCACTCTGTGCCCTTATTCTATTATTTTTTAATTGTTTTACTACTTCGTCTTTATTTACTGTTATTAATATGATGTCATTGATCGCAACGAAGGTTTAATGTTGCATGAAAATCATGATGTACCCTACACGCCCATATATTCTAGTGGCATTCATTCTAACAGTTTCCAATCCATAAAAGCTTAAGAACAGGGGCGATAGAACAACGAATTTGGCACACTTCCTACTCAAATGTGAAAATATGCCTTTCTTGAAATGACAGTAATCTCTTAGAGGTCATATGCACTACAGCGCTTTACGAGACTAAAATAGGGTGTTTCAGTAGTCCCCAATCAACAGTGGTTCATAAACCCTTTTACGCAACAACGCAAAATGCTCCCCTTCAATCCGTAAAAAGAAGGCAAGATTTCTGGGCATGTCACTTCAGTTTTTGCTGAATGACATCAACTTCTTCATGTCCATTTATATAATCAGACTGCTTTGAACACAATTAGGTAACTTAGATAGCTCTACCCATAGCCTATAGAATTGGGACTACCAATCCCATCAATCACGACAACATCTAGTTTTCCGAAAATACAACAGTTTTAAACAATGTTAGAATTCTGATCCTGTGATATGAAAGAACATCATGAAATACTTCTAAATATGCAAAATCGGGAGAATATTCGACTTTTATTAGACAATCCATTTGAATAGTACTTATAAAATGAGAAGAGGATCGAAGCTGAGAAAGGTGCTATAAAATGTCAGAAGTTTAGAGCTGCAATAATTTGGTGCCGTTTTAGGCCAATCTGGAGGGTGTCGTTATCATTAAAAGCGACGGAATGGTCAAGGCTTGACACACAGAGGGATAATGCAAGTCCCAAAATCTAAATAACTTTAGAACCCACAGTATTACTTTGAGAGAACCCCTTTTTAAAAATGCCCGGTTGGCATAGGCACCCAGTTCAGCTTTTCTTTTAAACATAGAAAATAAAGAAGATCATGAAATCTCTACTTATGGTACAAAGACATTTTGCAGGTTTTGTTTTCTGAAATCGTAAGGCAAAAGCAGAGAACAGAATCTTTCTTTCTAAGAAGTTAGTTTCAGAACCTCAGCACACCTCATTCCGAGAATATTTGAAGGTGTCTTTTGAGCGCACAACCAGACAAGTTCCACTTTCTTTCTCACCGGTTGCCTCTACACACAAATCATACAGAGGTGATATTTCTATTACGACGCTTTTATGTAACCAGTATTTTTCTATATTGTGAAACCTCTTCTCGATTACAAATAAAAGTCCAAAAATACAAACAAAAAAGAAACACAGTGACTATGGAAGAAGCAGAAACACCACAAAAACAATTAACACATACCGCAAATTCATTTGGTAAAGCTTCAATTGCTTTTTCGTAGATATCTCTCGTATGTGTGACCCCAAATATCTCGGCAGCTCTTTTAATATAGATGTTGAATATCTAAAACAAAAATAAAACTCTACAATGCTTATCTGAAAATTTTACAAAAAAATTTAAACACGCAATACAAAATATTTCAGGAATGCTGCAACTGATCCACAAATTCCAGTTAAGAAGACATGCAGTGGTTAACGAGCTTGCTCATATCATTGTACAGGAGTTGGAACCTCTTGGATTCGAAGGTAAAACTGACCGGGCAACGGATTAAGTGATTAAGGAAATAAATAAGAAAAGGAAATGAACTCTAAAAAATGCACATTTTAAACTCTCCGGAAACAAATGCTTTAGTTCCAAAAACCTGATAAAGTTCGCCTAGTAGATATGCCTACAATGGTTGTCTTTTTACGTCTGCATTGGTATTAGCATACTGACAGAACTGCTTCACAACGAGCCAGCTAGGCGGTTACCCGTTCCCTCTCACAAGCGTTCCAATTTTCCCCTCTTTTGTCTTTAAGTGATGAATTTTATAGCAACCTCTTGAAAAGGTCTGAGCATGTGAAAATTAAGACATTTGAATAAAGTTGCAATGTAATGAGAGAAGTTATCACGAAAAGAATAACAATGGGGTATTAAATAGATCATAGCCTCGTATTGTTCATTGGGTGGAAGTGATGTCGAAGCTCGATCGTAGACTGCCATCGCTTACAAGACCATGCTCCTCCTCCAACATTTTCTAGATAAAAATTTTGTGGATGTAGTTTGTACCACTTGAAAGTTATTCAACATAACCCAGAGAGAGCGGGTGAAACCAAACATGTACATGAAGAAGGCAGGTCTCAAGTCGCAATCTCTTGTTTTGCTTTGTCTCGTTCATTCCAGATCAGTATTAAATCCATGGTCTTTTATTGCTGTGGAAAGAAATGAAATCCTGTTACTGACAGTATATAGAAAGTTTATATGTATACATAATTTAGCGATTCAACAAAACTGTTCTTTCATAAAAATACATATTAAATAGTTCCATTTCCAGGCGTATTTGATGCAAGGAATTTACTCCAAGATAAGATAATTGTCATAAAATTGAGAAAGGAAATCAATCACTAAAGCTAGTAAAAGAATTAAATAAGCCAAAATGTAAACAAGAAACAACCACGGGTAGTTTAGTTTAAAAATGACAAATAACTGTGACAATTTGAAATGGATAATTGAAGGACAAATAACTTTCTGTTAAAAAGGACAATTTAAGTGAATATTGAAAAAAATCATAAACACATCTTCATAACAGATAAGAAATATGAAATAATTATCTGAAGTGAGGGATAAATCGATAAGAAAAGAGGGGGTTTACGAAGAGGAGAATATAAACAAGTAATGAGTGCTGGAGGACATCCATCTACCCTCCCATAGAAAATAGGACAATAATGATAAATATTAAGAAAACAAGAAATAGGGAGAAGGAAAGAAGAGCTTGTTAGCAGCTAAGCAAGAATAATTTCTAATGAAATTAAATGATAAACTTCAAGGATAGGAAACAATATTAATATATAGTAAAGTACAAAAGAATTGGAAAAAGAATGGCACATTTAGAGGAGAAAACAAATGAGTGACGAGTGCTGAAAAGAGTTTTTTATTTTCTCATAAAAAGGACGACTACGATAAAAATTGAGAAAACAAAAAGTTGAGAAAATGAGAGAGGACCTTTTTGCAGCTCAGCAAGAATTAATTCTAAAGAACCTAAATGATAAACTTCATAGGTGGGAAAAAACAAATATTGATGTGATGTAGGGGACAAAAATAGGAAAAAAGAGGACACTCTGAAGGGAGAAAATGAACAAGCACTGAGTGATGGAAGACGTTATTTTAACTTTTAATAGAAAAAGGGCGATTAAGATAAAAATTGGGAGACCAAAAAAGAGAAAATGAAAGAAGTCCTTTCTGCAGCTCAGCAAGAATTAATCCTAAAAAAATTCAAATGATAAACTTCAAGGATAGGAAAAATAAATATTGATTTGATGTTAGGGGCAAAAACAATGGAAAAGAAAGTGCACACTTAGAGAAGGAAATGAACAAGCACTGAGTGCTGGAAGACGTTATTCTAACTTCCAATAGAAAACGGGCGATTAAGATGAAAATTAAGAAAACAAAAAAAGGGAAGAAAAGATGAACCATTTTGCAGCTCAGCAAGAGTTATTTCTAGATAACTTTAATGATAAACTTCAAGGATAGGAAAAATTGATTATTGATCTGATATAAAGGACAAAAATTTAGAACAGATAGGGCACACTTAGAAGAGAAAATAGACGAGTTACGCACTTAGAAGAGAAAATAGACGAATGCTTGAAGACATCTTTTTAACCACCCATAGAAAAAAGGACAATTAAGATAAAGATTAAGAAAACAAAAGGTAGGAAGAAGAAAAGAAGACTTATTAGCTGCCAAGCAAGAAAAATTTCTAGTGAAATTAAATGATACATTTCGATTAAAGGAAAAATAAATATTGATCTGATGTAAAGGAGAAACAAATTTGAAAAGAGAAAATGAAGGAAGGCTTTCTAATGTAAAATTAAAAGCATCCATAACAAATATTTCCAAACTGATATGAACAATAAAGATAGATGTTTTCTTACAAAATAAAATAAAGGAAATTACCAAAAAAATCTTCTATTAAAATTGAAAGTCTCTGTAATAAATATTTATTAAATGAAAGAAACAATAGAAGTAGATATTTCCTTGCAAAATAAAGTAAAAAAGTGTCAGACAAATTACAAAAAAGGGGTCGTTGAGAGAGCGTCCAAATTATTTTGCATATTATCAATTAATAAGAATACACAAAGTAAAATTGAAACAAATACAAAGGAATGTTAGGAAGTGATGTTTCCGTAAACAGTTAAGAAAAAAGTATAAAAAATTCCAAAAAAGGAAAAGACTCGAAAACTGACTGCCATATTTTTTCGATTCTTTGAATGGAAAAAGTCTATTGGCGCAGACAAAGTTAAATACTAACAGAAATTAAAAGAAATTATTCTCAAAAAAAGCTTTGTACATACGCATCTTTCAAAACTGTTTTTAAGTTTGAGCATTACTTAGACTTAATACCTAGTAAAAAGAAAAGATCCAATTTTGCAAAACTACGTCTCAGAGCTCACAACCTCAAGATTGAAACAGGTAGATACGGGAAGAATCTCATTCCTAGAATTGATAGAAAATGTCCGTATTGTCAATCTTTTAATAAAACTGCTGTGGAGGACGAAATTCATTTTTTTTAGTTTGTCCTCTTTACGAGACTGCTAGGAATTCTATGTTATCTATGATTTATTCAAAATTTCCCAGAATCTTATCCGTTGACCTTTGTGATAAGTTTATCTGGTTGCTGAGTCAAGAAGATACGTATTGTCTGATATCAATAGCTAATTTTATATCGCTGGCTTTTGAATCACGGGAATCTTTTGGGAAGTCCTCTATGTACATACCCTCGCAACGTAAGCTTATAATATTTGTATTAGCTGTTTGCTTTATGTTTTTTGTTAATGAGATTTATTGTTAATTTGTCATTATGTTAACTTGGAAATGGGCCATTTTGGCCAAAGGGCCTTAATTGTAAAAAAGAGAAAAGAAATTATATTTGAAATTGCAATTTGAAAGTAAGATTAAACAGGCAATCACAGTATGTTTCTTTGCTGTCAATCCTCGTATTGTAAACAGTACTAGGAGAGCACTTCCACCCTTTCAAAAGGATTGCGTTCCTACCACCCAAATGAGTTATGCAATTAATCAAAAAAAAATTAGCCAACCATGAAAAATGTTCAAAAGTTATTAAAAACCAATGCGCAAACAATTGAATAAAATTTATAAAACCTTTTTTATATTGAAGAAAGTTTAAAAAAATTGATGATAACTAGTCAACTATAAAAAATTAAATGAAATTGAAAGAAACTACTCAACCAGAAAAACTTACTTGAAATTTATGAAAATTTATTTGATTTGAAAAGATCAGATAAAATTTGAACAAATTAGCGATGTGCGGAAAGGATTAGATAAGATTTCTGAAAATTAGTCATCCGTAAAAAAGAATATTTCAGATTAATAAGATATAGTGTAACCATGTAAAAATGAAAGAAAATCAAAATAAATATCTTAACTGTGAAACAATTAAAAAAGATTTCAAAATTTGTCAACTGACAGGGAAGTTAAAAAAGATTTAAAAAGTTTAGCCAACACCTTAAAAAATTAAATTAAATCACTAAAAATTACTTAACTTTAAAAGGAAGAGAAAATATCTAATAAAACTAGCCAATCATGAACAAAATCAAAAAAGTATTAAAAACCAATGCGTGAACAATTAAATAAAATTTATAAAAGCTATTTTATATTGAAAAAAGTTTAAAAAAATGTATGATAACTAGTCAACTATGAAAAATTAAATGAAATTAAAACAAAATACTCAATCAGAAAATCTAGGTAAAATTTATGAGAATTGATTTAATTTGAAAAGACCAGATAGAATTTAAACAAATTAGCGATGTGCGAAAAGGATTAAATAAGATTTCTGGAAATTAGTCATCCATAAAAAAGAATATTTCAGATTAATAAGATATAGTGTAAACATGTAAAAATTAAAGAAAATCAAAATAAATATCTCAACTGTGAAAAAATAAAAAAAGATTTTAAAATTTGTCAACTGACAGGGAAGTTAAAAAAGATTTAAAAAGTTTAGCCAACACCTTAAAAAATTAAATTAAATCATTAAAATTACTTACACGTAAAAGGAAAAAATATTTAAATAAAACTAAGCCATCATAAACAATCAAAAAAAGTTTAAAAAACCCAATGCGTGATCAATTAATAAATTTATAAAACTATTTTATTTGAAAAACGTTTAAAAAAAATTGTATGATAACTAGTTCAACTATGAAAATTAAAATGAAATTAAACAAAATATTCATCAGCAAAATCTAGTAAAATTTATGAGCATTGCATTTAATTGTTGAAAAGACAATATGAATTTAAACAAAGTTGGAGATGTGCGAAAGGATAAATAAGATTTTGGAAATTAGTCATCCTAAAAAAGAAGTATTTGCAAATTAATGATATAGTGGGTAAACATGTAAAAATTAAAGAAAATCAAAATAAATATCTCAACTGTGAAAAAATAAAAAAAGATTTCAAAATTTGTCAACTGACAGGGAAGTTAAAAAAGATTTAAAAAGTTTAGCCAACACCTTAAAAAATTAAATTAAATCATTAAAAATTACTTAACCGTAAAAGGAAAAAAATATTTAATAAAACTAGCCAATCATGAACAAAATCAAAAAAGTATTAAAAACCAATGCGTGAACAATTAAATAAAATTTATAAAAGCTATTTTATATTGAAAAAAGTTTAAAAAAATGTATGATAACTAGTCAACTATGAAAAATTAAATGAAATTAAAACAAAATACTCAATCAGAAAAACTTAGATAAAATTTATGAGAATTGATTTAATTTGAAAAGACCAGATAGAATTTAAACAAATTAGCGATGTGCGAAAAGGATTAAATAAGATTTCTGGAAATTAGTCATCCGTAAAAAAGAATATTTCAGATTTATAAGATATAGTGTAACCACGTAAAAATTAAAGAAAATCGAATAAAATATCTCAACTCTGAAACAATAAAAAAAGATTTCAAAATTTGTCAACTAACAGGGAAGTTAAAAAAGATTTAAAAGATTTAGCCAACACCTTAAAAAATTAAATTAAATCGTTAAAAATTATTTAACCGTAAAAGGAACAGTAAAAAATTTAATAAAACTAGCCAATTATGAAAAAATTAAAAAAGTATTAAAAACCAATGCGTAAACAATTCAATGAAATTTATAAAAGCTATTTTATATTGAGGAAAGTTTAAAAAAATTTATGATAATTTGTCTACTATAAAAATTAAATGAAATTAAAAGAAACTATTCAACAGGAAAACATACTTAAAAATTATGAAAATTTATATAATTTGAAAGATCAGATAAAATTTGAACAAATTAGCGATGTGCGAAAAGGATTAAATAAGATTTATGGAAATTAGTCATTCGTGAAAAAGAATATTTCAGATTAATAAGATATAGTGTAACCATGTAAAAATTAAAGAAAATCAAAATAAATATCTCAACTGTGAAAAATTAAAAAAGATTTCAAAATTTGTCAACTAACAGGGAAGTTAAAAAAGATTTAAAAGATTTAGCCAACACCTTAAAAAATTAAATTAAATCGTTAAAAATTATTTAACCGTAAAAGGAACAGTAAAAATTTAATAAAACTAGCCAATTATGAAAAAATTAAAAAAGTATTAAAAACCAATGCGTAAACAATTCAATGAAATTTATAAAAGCTATTTTATATTGAGGAAAGTTTAAAAAAATTTATGATAATTTGTCTACTATAAAAATTAAATGAAATTAAAAGAAACTATTCAACAGGAAAACATACTTAAAAATTATGAAAATTTATATAATTTGAAAGATCAGATAAAATTTGAACAAATTAGCGATGTGCGAAAAGGATTAAATAAGATTTATGGAAATTAGTCATTCGTGAAAAAGAATATTTCAGATTAATAAGATATAGTGTAACCATGTAAAAATTAAAGAAAATCAAAATAAATATCTCAACTGTGAAAAATTAAAAAAGATTCCAAAATTTGTCAACTGAGAGGATGGTTAAAAAACATTTAAAAAGTTAAATCATTAAACCTTAAAAAAATTAAATTAAATCATTAAAAATTACTTAACTTTAAAAAGAAAAGAAAATATCTAATAAAACTAGCCAATCATGAACAAAATCAAAAAAGTATTAAAAACCAATGCGTGAACAAATAAATAAAATTTATAAAAGCTATTTTATATTAAAAAAGTTTAAAAAAATGTATGATAACTAGTCAACTATGAAAAATTAAATGAAATTAAAACAAAATACTCAACCAGAAAAACTTACTTATAATTTATGAAAATTGATTTAATTTGAAAAGATCAGATAAAATTTAAATAAATTAATGATTTGCAAAAAAGATTAAATAAGATTTCTGGAAATTAGTCATCCGTAAGAAAGAATATTTCAGATTAATAAGATAAAGTGTAACCATGTAAAAATTAAAGAAAATCAAATCAAATATCTCAACTGTGAAACAATTAAAAAAGATTTCAAAATTTGTCAACTGACAGGGAAGTTAAAAAAGATTTAAAAAATTAGCAAGCACCTTAAAAAATTAAATTAAATTATTAAAAATTACTCAACCGTAAAAGGAAGAGAAAATATCTAATAAAACTAGCCAATCATGAACAAAATTAAAAAAGTACTAAAACCAATGCGTAAACAATTAAATAAAATTGATAAAACCTTTTTTATATTGAAGAAAGTTTAAAAAAATTGATGATAATTAGTCTACTATAAAAAATTAAATAAAATTAAAAGAAACTACTCAACCAGAAAACTTACTTAAAATTAATGAAAATTTATATAATTTGAAAAGACCAGATAGAATTTAAACAAATTAGACATGTGCGAAAAGGATTAAATAAGATTTCTGGAAATTAGTCATCCATAAAAAAGAATATTTCAGATTAATAAGATTAGTGTAAACATGTAAAAATTAAAGAAAATCAAAATAAATATCTCAACTCTGAAAAAATAAAAAAAGATTTCAAAATTTGTCAACTGACAGGGAAGTTAAAAAAGATTTAAAAAGTTTAGCCAACACCTTAAAAAATTAAATTAAATCATTAAGAATTATTTAACCGTAAAAAGAAGAGAAAATAATTATTAAAACTAGCCAATCATGAACAAAATTAAAAAAGTACCAAAAACCAATTTGTAAACAATTAAATAAAATTGATAAAACCTTTTTTATATTGAAAAAAGTTAAAAAAAATTGATGATAACTAGTCAACTATGAAAAATTAAATGAAATTGAAAGAAACTACTCAACCAGAAAAACTTACTTGAAATTTATGAAAATTTATTTGATTTGAAAAGATCAGATAAAATTTGAACAAATTAGCGATGCGCGGAAAGGATTAGATAAGATTTCTGAAAATTAGTCATCCGTAAAAAAGAATATTTCAGATTAATAAGATATAGTGTAACCATGTAAAAATGAAAGAAAATCAAAATAAATATCTTAACTGTGAAACAATTAAAAAAGATTTCAAAATTTGTCAAGTGACAGGGAAGTTAAAAAAGATTTAAAAAGTTTAGCCAACACCTTAAAAAATTAAATTAAATCACTAAAAATTACTTAACTTTAAAAGGAAGAGAAAATATCTAATAAAACTAGCCAATCATGAACAAAATCAAAAAAGTATTAAAAACCAATGCGTGAACAATTAAATAAAATTTATAAAAGCTATTTTATATTGAAAAAAGTTTAAAAAAATGTATGATAACTAGTCAACTATGAAAAATTAAATGGAATTAAAACAAAATACTCAACCAGAAAAACTTAAGTAAAATTTATGAGAATTGATTTAATTAGAAAAGACCAGATAGAATTTAAACAAATTAGCGATGTGCGAAAAGGATTAAATAAGATTTCTGGAAATTAGTCATCCGTAAAAAAGAATATTTCAGATTAATAAGATATAGTGTAACCATGTAAAAATTAAATAAAATCAAAATAAATATCTCAACTCTGAAACAATAAAAAAAGATTTCAAAATTTGTCAACTGACAGGGAAGTTAAAAAAGATTTAAAAGATTTAGCCAACACCTTAAAAAATTAAATTAAATCATTAAAAATTATTTAACCGTAAAAGGAAGAGAAAATAATTAATAAAACTAGCCAATCATGAACAAAATTAAAAAAGTACCAAAAACCAATTTGTAAACAATTAAATAAAATTGATAAAACCTTTTTTATATTGAAAAAAGTTAAAAAAAATTGATGATAACTAGTCAACTATGAAAAATTAAATGAAATTGAAAGAAACTACTCAACCAGAAAAACTTACTTAAAATTTATGAAAATTTATTTGATTTGAAAAGATCAGATAAAATTTGAACAAATTAGCGATGTGCGGAAAGGATTAGATAAGATTTCTGAAAATTAGTCATCCGTAAAAAAGAATATTTCAGATTAATAAGATATAGTGTAAACATGTAAAAATTAAAGAAAATCAAAATAAATATCTCAACTGTGAACAAATAAAAAAAGATTTCAAAATTTGTCAACTGACAGGGAAGTTAAAAAAGATTTAAAAAGTTTAGCCAACACCTTAAAAAATTAAATTAAATCATTAAAAATTATTTAACCGTAAAAGGAAGAGAAAATAATTATTAAAACTAGCCAATCATGAACAAAATTAAAAAAGTACCAAAAACCAATTTGTAAACAATTAAATAAAATTGATAAAAGCTATTTTATATTGAGGAAAGTTTAAAAAAATTTATGATAATTTGTCTACTATAAAAATTAAATGAAATTAAAAGAAACTATTCAACAGGAAAACATACTTAAAAATTATGAAAATTTATATAATTTGAAAGATCAGATAAAATTTGAACAAATTAGCGATGTGCGAAAAGGATTAAATAAGATTTATGGAAATTAGTCATTCGTGAAAAAGAATATTTCAGATTAATAAGATATAGTGTAACCATGTAAAAATTAAAGAAAATCAAAATAAATATCTCAACTGTGAAAAATTAAAAAAGATTCCAAAATTTGTCAACTGAGAGGATGGTTAAAAAACATTTAAAAAGTTAAATCATTAAACCTTAAAAAAATTAAATTAAATCATTAAAAATTACTTAACTTTAAAAAGAAAAGAAAATATCTAATAAAACTAGCCAATCATGAACAAAATCAAAAAAGTATTAAAAACCAATGCGTGAACAAATAAATAAAATTTATAAAAGCTATTTTATATTAAAAAAGTTTAAAAAAATGTATGATAACTACTCAACTATGAAAAATTAAATGAAATTAAAACAAAATACTCAACCAGAAAAACTTACTTATAATTTATGAAAATTGATTTAATTTGAAAAGATCAGATAAAATTTAAATAAATTAATGATTTGCAAAAAAGATTAAATAAGATTCTGGAAATTAGTCATCCATAAAAAAGAATATTTCAGATTAATAAGATATAGTGTAAACATGTAAAAATTAAAGAAAATCAAAATAAATATCTCAACTGTGAAAAAATAAAAAAAGATTTCAAAATTTGTCAACTGACAGGGAAGTTAAAAAAGATTTAAAAAGTTTAGCCAACACCTTAAAAAATTAAATTAAATCATTAAGAATTATTTAACCGTAAAAAGAAGAGAAAATAATTATTAAAACTAGCCAATCATGAACAAAATTAAAAAAGTACCAAAAACCAATTTGTAAACAATTAAATAAAAT